TGTATGTTTGATTTGGGAAAGAAAATGCCATGTAATGATTGGAGTGATTGCACTATTACACAGCTTTATTTTTCATAATTTGGCTCTGTCTTTGAAATGGAGAATTATGATCCAATTTAAATTCACGCATTTAAGATAATAGGCTGGTCCCTGTTCGAGGCTGTGCAACAATTTGAACTGTGCAACAACTTGAAGCATGTACTCTAAAACTGTCCTCAGAAAACTGCTGTTTCACATGAGCCTAGTGCTGCTAAGTGTAAGAGGTGATTTTATGAAGTATGAAAAGACTTTCAAAGACCACTAAAAGAAATGACCTTCCTCAAAGATCAATTGCTAACTTATTTACATACAATACACAAAAGTACTGCCAAAGTATTCTAAGAAAACTTTTCTTCAAATTGCCCCACAAATATCTACTGAATACATGCTACATCACAGTCACTATGCTTTATTACACAGTGTTATTCTAGAAGAAGTCCTGCAGTAGCCTCCATGGATCTCCCTTCTGGTGTTCACACCCTGTTGTGATTCCCCTCCCCTTGTCCGAGGGCAGAACCTTGACTTGGTCACAAGAAACAGAATACGGCGAAAGTGATGAGGTGTGAGTGATTGTGTGTCCGTGATTGTGTGGGTATGTATATAATAAGACTATAGTGCCTGTCTAGCCAGAGTCTCTCTCTCTCTTGCTAGCTCTGAGGAAGTAGAAAGGCATGTTGGGATAATGAAAGCAAGGGAAAGAAGGTGGCTTCTAGAGGGAGAAAGGGGCTTCCAGCCAAGAGCCTATAAGGGTCTCCAGCCAGAACTCAGCAAGAAAAAGAATCTCTCAGTTCTACAATCACAATGAACTGAATTCTGCCAAAGGCCTGAGTGTACTTGGAAGCAGATCCTTCTCCTGTTGACCCTCAGGGGAGAATGCAGCTCTGGCTGATACCTGATTGCCTGTGAGACCTCCTCTGAGCAGAAGACACAGTTTGGCAGAGCCTAGACTCCTTATTCACAAAAACTGGGAGATAACAAACATGTGTTTCTTCAAGCCACTAATATTGTGGTAATATTGTTACAAAGTAACAAATAACTAAGGTCCTCAGTCTTTGTCTTTCTTGACCTTGAAAACTTGGAAGCATGCAGGCCAGTTATTCTGTAAAGTCTCTCAATCTGGGTGTGTTTGTTTGGAAATCCCTCAGTCTCATCCTCATGATTAGATTCAGATTCAGGAGTAACACAGAAGTGATGTTGTATCCTTCTCAGCATATCCTTTCAAAAGGTGTATATGCTTTATACATACAAGTGTATTATTGTATACATAAGTAATTGATCATGTGGTTAGATCCACAAGTCTTTCCATTGTAAAGATACTATTTTCCCATGATAACTAATAAAAGACTTGTGAGGAGATCCTTTAAGACTATGTAAATATCCTATTCATCATCAAACTCTCATTCATTGATTTTAGCAACCACTGATGATTTTCTAACTACATAATTCCTTTTGTATTTATTAGTTGTCATTCTCTTCTTTCTTATTGACTTACTTATCTAGTGATTTATTTATATCAGAGTGAAATCACAGTTTCTTATTTTAGTCAGTGGTTACAATTTGCTACTACTTTATGTTTTGATATTCAAATTGATCCAGATATGTTCATTGGAAGCTCCCTTCAGATACATCCTCTGTCCTTCTAATATATTGCCATCATTTTAAGCCTTTCTATTTTTCTAGCACAACAAGATTTTCCAGGCATATTTTATGGGTTTCCTGTCCTAGACCTGGAATTTTTTCTCCAAAGACTCCTGGTTCCTGTTAAAGTGGAGAATGGCATTTAGAAGCCAAAGTCTGGGTACTTAGTGTACTCATTGCTATTGAAATGTTATTGCTTTGAGTACCTCCCAGTGAGAGAGCCAAAGTAGATAGAGATATATTTAACAAAATATGTGTAAAACAAATGCACTAAAAACTGGAATACATTACTGGGAAAACTTTTAAAAGACTAGAATAAATGGATAAATATACTATGTGGATTGTAGGGCTCATTATTACTAAGATGTCAATTATGAAGATGTCTTCTTAGCATCTTATAAGGCTGCAAATCTACACATTGGCTGGGATTGTGGGCACATCTGAGGCTTGACTGGGGAAATACCTGCTTCTGTGCTCAAAAAGTTTGTTAGCAGAATTTTGTTCGTTGTATTGTGAAGACTGTGGGATTCCTTTTTTTGCTGACTAGAGCTCCTTGTAGGCTGTCAGCTAGAGGATACCCACAGTTCTCAGAAACTGCCTGTACTTCTTCATCATGTGGGATTTCCCTGCATGATACATGTGTGCATGATACACACCTACACACCCCTTCGTATTTAATTTTTAACCTCAAATTCTATTTGAACACTACAATGTATGTTCTAGTCTTTCCCCTTCAACAGTGAGAAAACTGAATATCATTATAAGTGCAAATATATTTTCTCAAGCCTGGACTATAGATTGCTGCAAGGGGACAGAATATACTGTGTGGCATCTGGAGGAGAAAAAGCAAGACAGGAAAGTTTCCCATGACTTTTATAATTCATATTCTTTTTTTTTTTTAAGGGAATTTGATCATCAAAGATTTTGTTATTTTTTCTGGTTGCATGATCAAAACCTTCACCAGTAGAGGTGGGTTAAAGCCAAATCATGTAGAACTTTGTAAGCCACATTAGAAAGTTTGGTCTTTATTCCAGTATAATGGGAACTGGAGGGCTTTCTGTTAAATCATTGCACATTTATTTGTTGTAAATATCATTAACAGCATTTTTGAAGTTACTTCCTGGTAACGTTTGTTATTTACTCAATATTCAACTCATTCGACAAGATTGGAGATGCTTAGTACAATCCATACCAGTAAGTTAAAACATTAAGTAATCTAACAAATAGGGATAAAGAATAAAATGGAGTTGGGAAACAAGAGGTCAGGGTGAGGTCGGTGCAAAATATGCTCGCCTTTAAGAACTTTAAAGTTACAGAGGTTTTGTTACAAATTTTATCTGATATTTCTGGAGACTAGGACAGTCTGAAATACCTCATCTTCCAATCTCTTGTGAAACTTTCACTTCAAATAACAGGCCTTCACAATAACCCCCAATCTACCACGTACACCACAGAGAATTCAGACTCGCTGATGGGAGAATTCATGGGTTGCCTTTTTTTTTTTTTTTTTGCAGTAACTTTTCAGAAAACTTCCTGGGTTCTAATAATTTAACCCTTTCAGGTTTTAAGAAAAAATGGACTTTAAGATCGTGTTTATTTAATCAAGACAACCAACTGAAGCAAACAATTCAAGACCAAAATTCACTCCATCTTTCGTAGGCAAGCAGAGTTTTAAATTATAATTGACCGCCTGTTAGGAGAAATGCATGGATTTCCACATTGAAAAACTGAGCACTGAGGACAGTATATAGTTCACAAGGACTGTAATCACGCATCATGATCATACTAACAAATTAGAGCTCACATTTTAAAATCTGACATAATTTATCATGCATTATGTCACATTCTACTGCCTTGCTTACTTTTTATTGGTTTGTGGCTACTTGCATACAACGGCGAAGTTTCAGAAACTGAAATTACAACAGTCAACTATTTAATGCAGGAAGGATAAACCATTGCATTGGGGGGATTGGAAGACATTTTCTAAAGTTCTTACATTATCAATTTAATTATGCATTTCTATGTAGTGAGTAATGTCTTACATTCTTGCCAAGAGTATTTCGAAAGGACTTTGTTAAAAGTATGTCAGCTCAATCACTTTGGGTATATCACTGCTAATGGTGTCCTTCACACGTTGTGAAACATACAACTCCAGATTTAATTCTGCTCCGAAATTAGGTCACTGCAAAATAACCATATTAAAACTGCAAATTGCGGGACAAGAAGATGGAGACCAGAACAAAGCAAAAGGAAGACACCAATTCCTTTTTGTAAAGGATGATTGGGATAGGAAGGCTGAGCCCTTTGGTTAAACAGATACTTTTGCGGGAAGGGGGGGCGAGCCCGTGTGTTAACTCCATTTAAATATGACGAATTAACTTAAACCTGTGCTAACCGGCTGCTCTGCACTGTACCCGCGCAGTGCCTGCGTTCTCAAGTTAACCTCATTGTACAGAGGTGCCCTTGTTCTCTGACTTCATACACAAACCATCATAATTATTTCAGTTTACCTTTTCCTTTTCCCAGGAAATCTTGTTCCAGCCATGAAAAGGGAACGTTTGATGCAGACACCTAATTTATAACTATTACTGTCGTTAATATTAACATTTTAAACACGGGAATGGCTTTGTTGGACCCGCAAATCTGTGGCACACGCCCCAACTCTCCTTAACCCGTTCGGTTGCTGGGGTGCTGAGAGCCCCCTGGGGCTGGCGGGGCTCGGAGGAAGGTCGATGGTCCCGGCTCCTCCCAGGCAGCATTGTTCGGTCGGTCCAGAGGAAGAGGGCCCGGGGGAGCAGCACCTTACTTTCCGTGAAAACTCCCCCGAGCCCCAGCTTTCAGGATTTAGGACGGGCGCACACACCACGACTCTCCCTTTCTGACAGTGGGGCATCTGCGAACACACCCAGCCACCTTCGAGCGCTCCCCGGGATCCCGCTCAGCACACAGCGCACCCCAGCGGCGGCGTGGCCTCCTTCCAGCCGGGGCCACTTAGCTTCCGGAGAGCTCGCCGCTCGCCTCCGCCGCCGCCTTGGAATCTGGGGACCCGAGACACTGCGAGACCTGGTCTCCAGCGGACCCTAGGGAGGGCGCGCGGCTGCCGCGCCTGCCCCACCCGCCACACCTGGGAGCGGTGAGGACCGGGAGAGGAGGGGCGCCGCACGAGGCTGGCCCGGAGCCTGAGCCGCTTCGCCGAAAGCCAGCCGGACTGGAGCAAGGCGGAGGGGGAGGGTCTCGGGGCAGAGTCCTGCTCCTCCGAGGGAGGGACCCCAGCTGGGGTGGAAAACAGCACAAACCAGCTGCAGAGACTCGGGGCGCGGATCATGGAGCGGGCCAGCCCGGGCTCCGGGGGGTCGCAGCGGCAGCGGGACCAGGATTCGGTGGAAGCGTGGCTGGATGATCACTGGGACTTTACCTTCTCTTACTTTGTTAGGAAAGCCACAAGGTAAGAAGAGGACCCCCTGGAAGACCCAGCCGGGGCGCTGAGAGTGACCTGGGGGCTCATCTCTCTCCCCTATTGATTTTTTCCCCTGCCTTCGCCATTCAACAACCTCCGTTCTCAGGCCGTTTGCTTTTGAAGTAGGTCCTTGGTCCTGTTAGGGTATAGAGACCTCGACTTTATGGCAAGTACAGTCGAAAAGCGCAAGCATGGGATTCGATCCAACTTGCTCGCAAAGTTCAAATACAAATATGTCCTTGTGGACCCCTTCCGCCCCCCCAAACACCCCGGCTGCCCTGGCATTCCCTGAAAGCAAGATTATTTACATGCACCCGCGCTCACGGGCCTTCCTCCAGCCCTTCTCTAGGCTCCTGGTCCCCCTAAATCTCCTTAGCGAAACCAAAACAGTTTGGGAGCCCCTTCCCTGCAGCTCCGGAAGCAGCGTTTCCAACTCGGTCCCAGCAGCTCCGCTCCTCCCCCGTTCCCCCTGGCCCCGGCCCTTGGCGGGGCGGGGAAGCCGGGGTAGGGGCGAGACCACGAGGAGCCCAAAGGCTGCAACATGCCGGGATCTTCCCAGAGTAAGTGCTGTCGCCTTTTGCCCCCTTCCAGTCCCTAGCTTGGCCCGCGCGCTTCCTTTCACTCTCCTCTGCCCCCAAGGCGGCGCCGCTGAAAGGGCTCCGCAGAGGGGCTCGCGGCGCGCACACAAAGGGCGCGGGGGAGGCGCGGCGGGAGCGGACGACCGCGGGCTGGCGGGTCCCGCGCGGCCCCAGCCGACCCCAAAGGCCAGCTCCTCCTGGGCGAGAGCCAAGCGCCGGGCGGCCGCTGCGCAGAACTGGAAGGAGGGCGCCTGTCCTTTGCGAGGCGGCTGTCCGGGGGGCCGTTGGGGCGCGCGTGGGAAACGCTCGCCTTAGAGGTGGGAAGGCATTGGGGCCGAAGCCCAGGAAGGAGGAGGTGGAGAGGAGAGTGCGTAGCGGGCGGATCCCTCAAAGCCCGAGGAGTTGGTGGGAAGCGGACTGGGGCCGACTCCAGGGCGCATCTCTTCGGAGAAGGGTCCCGAGTCCGCCGCCGCCGCCGCGTCCAGGCAGCGGCCGTCGGGCTGCGGGCGCTGGCCGCCTCGGCCGCCGCGGAGACGCGCTCGCGGCGGTGATGGTGGAGCGGCCGGCCGGGGCGCCGCGCTGGGGTCGCGCCCGCCCGCGCTCTGTCTCCGCTGTGCCGGGCGCTCCCCGCCAGGGGGCGGCTCAGCGCGGGACGAGCGGGCGGCGGCTGGCAGCGGCGCGGTGGCGGGGTCGGTAGGGGAGCGGGCTTGGAGTCACCGCCTCACCTGGGCGCGTCGTCGCCCTCCGGCGCCTTCTGGAATCCGGAGTCTGTGGAGCCCGTATGGTCGGCACTTCGAACTTCCCATGTTTGCTATGTTGCCCTTTGGAGACAAAACAAGGTAGTTAGTTCTTCAGCATCCCCTAGCTTCCCACCTTCCCTGGGGGCGCGGGGGCGCGGGGCCGGGTGCTGGGTGGGTGGTGGCGCCCGGGTTACACCGGCTGGGAGATGCTTAATTGAAAATGGACTCTGACGTTTTGTTTTCCTTTATTCTCCTGCGGTGTGTTACTTGGGGATCTTAGAAGGGACTCTTTTTTAAGGCTGTTTTTCCTAACGAGTTTGTATCGATTTATTCACTTTTGGGGGCTTTTGATAGAGGCGACAGCGTAGGGCAAATCTTACCTCCTCTGTTTAATTACTCCACCCTCCTTTTCAAGTTTGGCCTTCTTCCTTCAGAATCCTAAATCTCAAGCAAGCAGAGGATAAACCCTGAAAAGGAAGTGGTTTCTTTTCAAAAGACACTTTTCTGCGAGTTTCGGGTGAGGCACCAAGGCCATCTAGATCTGGAATTACCGATTGCTGTGGGCCGACAGTTTTCGGCTGTCACCTGCTACTCCGAGGCCATCTGCCTCGAACATTTCCACCTTTCTGCCCTCATTGAACAGGGAGTGAGCAGGAGAAATGGGCTGACTTTTTTTTTTTTTTTTTTTTTTTGTATGTCAGGGTGTTCTTGGGAGGTATTTTTTGGGCATATTGTTAAGAGTTGAAAGAAAAAAGTGATTTGTCTTATAAATCAGCATAGATTGTCTTTTTCTTTTTTCCAAGACAGAAATTTGGGATTGTTTGGTGGTTCTTTGTAAATAGTGGTAGGTAAGAACACTTCACTCAGAGCCTGCCAAAACTTTGAGAGTAACATTTTATTGGAAAATAAATGGGAAGAGTTAAGTTTCCGTTTCTTTTCCCATTATTTTTTCTCCCAAGTAGCAAACGATTAAAACCCTAATTTCTCAAAGTTACACTGCTCCATGTAAAATTTACATCATCTGAGACTCTATATAAAGATTTTTTTAGTTAGTGTTTTGTATTATAGTTAATATTGAAAACAGGCTGACCACTTTCTCTTATATGTATGTGTTGTATATATATATTCTTATATGTTTATAAGAGCTTATGTTGAGTATGAGTTGGAAAACGAAAGTATAAAATGTTTAAGAGTAGTACAGGCCCTCAATTTTAGGAGTTATGAAGTGCTGAAAGTTGTCAGTTTAAAGAATATAATCTGAGAGCTGTGTGTAGTCTAAATTTCTAGTGCGGTCTTATATTTGATGGCCTTAACTGGAGATTTGAGATTGAGAGATTAGACAGTAGTTGATTATAAAAATGCCAAACTTTAAACCTCCTGTGATTCTTATGGTTGTGGTAAAAACTTATTGCAGACATATTAACTTTACAACTAAGATGTTTTTTTAAACAGGAGCTCACATTACTCTCTTTTTTTCTTTTTTTACACTTGTAAGTGTACAGTGAATAATGTAAGTGATTCAGAAAACCTATGAAACAGACAGTTCTGTAGAAACATTTAACATACTTTAAAATTTAAAATAAATTTGGATTCACTTAGATTGGTCATCTGTGCCTGTAAACAGGCATGTTGATGGAATTGTTTCTGCCTTATTTGATTTGATTGTTGTCATTTGACATTCATGCATGCTTCTTTATCCTATCTCCAGACAATGATCTGTACTTAATAGTAGTCAGTGAACAGAATGAAGGTTCTGGCATTCCTAAATTCTCATTTAAGAACCTGTGAGTTCAGTTGACCTTGAAAGCAATTCTGCTGCTGTATTAGATTGTTTCCTATAAGTGTCTTCAAATACAGAGCTGAGCACCCAGTTAAAAGCTACAAGCTTGGAGCACAGATGCTTTTTAGTAATCACAGACTGTTTATGTGAATTTGAGAGTGTTAGTTGAACAATTCATAACATAATCTATTGGCATAAAAATTAATTCGAGACTAGTAAAGTACAACATATGGAAAATTTCCACCCTCACTATCCTAGACAATTTTGAAGTTCTACCCACCTCAGATACTGTATTAATTAAGGGCTCTAATCTTCATGCATTTGCAAATGAAGTCTTCTGGGTGCTAATGCCACTTAAACAGCTATTGTTATTGTTGACAGCATATTAAGATAATGTTACTTTTCATTAGTTACTAATCGTCTCTGCCATTGTGGGTGATGTTATAGCTTACTTAGTATGGTAGGAGTAACATGATTGACTTTTTATTGCTCTGTTTTGTACTAGGCAAAGGCTTGAGAATATTTGGCATATAATGGAAATAGGAGTTACTAAGTGAGGACAAGTTTTTATGACCACTTGGATCAAAGTCCAGAAACAGAAGTTTTACACTCTCATGTAGCTTTCTGTGATAGACTTTTTATTTGACACTGCAAAGCTGTGCTGAATTACTTGACATTCTTTCCTTTGTAATTTTTTCTCATCTCTGAAAGCTTAATATTTTTATTTGCAAGATATTTATATTAAAATCAGATGATGGATATAAAATAAATATTGCTATCTTTTACAAATTATTGTTTCTGTAATTACATGGGAATATAATTTTCAATTTTCATACAACTGATTTGTTAAGTATATTTGATTAAGCTGTTGCTAGTGTTGGATATAATAAAACTCTGGTTATTGACTCAGTCTGACTTTAATATTATTTGTAATATTTTTATGATGGTAATTCTGATGCAGTAATGGCCTTTTCTTTTTGTATTGTTTATTACCAGGGTTCATATAGCCAGCTCTAAACTGCTTTTTAGGGCCCTAAAAGTACTCTTTTATGTATATCGAATTCTTTCCTCCTAGAAGAAGCTGTAAGAGCCCCTGAAATGATATTTTTCATTGTCCTTCTATCTCTAGCATTTTCAAGGTTTCAAAATCAGATCCATTTTAGAGCCTACAATACAAGGGATCTATTTTAGAGCCTACAGTACAAGGTCATGAGTCCTAAAAATGTGATAGAATTAATGGAGTGTCAATTAGTCATAGATGGATATCTTGAAATAAACCTGTTTGGCTAACAAAAAGTTAAATAGGCATATAGTATAATTCAGTAGCTTTTTTTTTTTTTTTTTAGATCTGTAGAAATCACTAATATTTTCACTAGGATCACGTTTTCAACACCTCATGCAATTTTTAGCATTTTGAGTATGTTGTGCGATAAAATTTTCTTTTTAAGTAATTCCACCTAAATATTTAAAATATCTGAAACTAGCTTTCAAGTGGTATAGGTAAAGTTTCATCCTTATCTGATTACAGGGAAGGCATGTTAGTAATATGCTTCTTTTCCTTTAGATCTGAAAAAACAAATTAACTTAGAACCTTGTTTGAACCTCCCAGTGCATTGTAATAATGTTCAGGAAAGGTTTTTTCCTTCATTGAAAAGGCTACGCAGATCTGCTTGGTGTTTATTAGTTTATCCCCAAAACACTTTTCAAGTTAATAATTTATTAAACCTGTAACCGTTATGTTCAGTTAGATTTGTTCTTTGTTCTCAGAGCTGATTGTAGGATAAAAACCTCTTCCTAGGATGAAAGCCTTTGGTAAGGACTTAGGGCAATTAAGTAAATCACTGAGTTGATTGATGGTGGAGGGTTGAAAAATGACTAATTTCTGAATTT